AACTGAAAGGTCATCCGAGGTCTCTCCACTCAGTTGATATATATATATATATATATATATATATATATATATATATATATATATATATATGGCACAGATATTGGACATTATGAAATCGGAAGCATGGCGGAATGGGATAAAGCTGATACTGCTTTTTATTGTTACGGGCCCGTTAAATATCCCCGCAAAAACGCGCCAAAAAGTCCAGCGTAATGGCTGTGGAAAGAGGAGTCCAACTGCTCCCTACAACATAGCAGATTGCAGCCGATCTAAGACGCGGCACAACTGCGCACAGTTTGACAAGTTTCTTTTACAAACTACCACCCCGTCGCGGTAGCAATTTTCACTTAATAACACAGTTTTGGCTGTGATTTGTCCTTTGTTGGTCGTAAAAGAGCCTTCAGAGGACCATTTGTCTTGCTTCCTCTTCGTCGTAGTTGGGATTCGGTCGGGTCATGTGATTTTGGTGCGTCGATAGCCGGCCAACGTTCGTGTCTAAGCCATTAGCGCGCCTCTACCGTACACCCCCGGGTGTGTGTAGCCTCGTCTGTTACGAGGGATCAGCGTCTACCCGAATACGTGGGGCTAGGAACGTCCTCACGCTCGCTCAATTTCCGTCTCACCAGCGCGTACCCCGGGCTAAGCTAACGCCATCACGTCAACGCAAACCCGTGCGATTGGCCAGCGTTCCAAGCCGTTATGATAAGCGTGCTCCAACCGTGCCAGTGACCATCTTATCAAGCGTCTCACAATATTAACAGCGGCGACAGAGTTTAGGAACCATGACTGACGAATACGCTGAGTTAAAACTGCTGCTGCAGTAACAACTTAAATTGATGTCCGTCCTAACCGACAAGCTCCCCAATTTTTCGCTTCATGTAGGTCCAAGTGCTAATTCTTAGTCAGTGGACCATGTAGTTAACGGCATCAGCGAAGTTCTGTACGACACCAAGGCAGGGGTAACGTTCGAATCTTGGTATAAGCGGTACCAGGACCTGTTCAGAAGACCTGTCAGAAAGACCCATGGAAGATCCGGCTGATACCGCGCAAACTTGGTACGCTCGAATACCAATGTTACACCAACTTCATCTTGCCGAGGAACCCAGACGACGTTACATTTGACGAGACGGTCCGAATGTCGTGCCAGACTTTGGGCGAGCAGTCCTCTCAGTCCAATGCTCGTTATCAATGTCTGCAGCTGACCAAGCGTGATGCCGACGATTTCCTCACGTACGCGGGCGTGGTAAACCGTGAATGCCAACGTTTTCAAATTGGCTCACTCACTGAGGACCAATTCAAATGCCTGATTTTCGTCTTTGGCCTCCAGTCTCCACAAGAGACAGATATCCGGACGCGCCTCCTGTCCAAGTTACAACAGGATAGCTCAGTCACACTCCAGAATCAGGCAGAGCAGTGTCAAACGCTGCTGAACCAGAAGCACGATTCTGCCATGATCCAGGACGTCTCCGTACCTGGTATGGTCCGGGCAGTCACAGCACCGATGGGCGCAATCGTCCGCGTCAGTTTTCCACTTTGATTTTTAATGGTTTCGATAGGTTGTTTTATTAGGAGAGGGAAAGTGAATCATTGCAACCTGCAGGGATACACGTCCGCCCCTGAAATTGGTCTTGAGCCATAAATCCAAAGTCTCCAACCAGCGACACTCTGTATCCCTGAAATCTCAACCATGGAGTCGAGAACAAGCGACCGAGGCCAACTGTTTCGTTAGCTTTTTCCTGCGGCTCCTCCAAATTGTAGGTTGCCCGCCGCGCCGTCTCCTCCATCTCTGTCCACCAACGTCCGACGCAGATAAGGATAAGCGGGCGAGCGGTGGGTGCCCAAGCCCTTGCAATTGACGCTGTGAGACGAGCTCATCGAGTGAGTGGCTGCCTCCGCCCAAGACGCGCTGCCCAAGTTCCACATTGGTTACGTGGTGTAGCCACCACATAATGCACTGCAAGCAAGGCCAGTGGCCGAAAGGATTGCAAGTTTGGCTTGCAGTCCTTAGGTCACCGGTACGAATCCGCGTAGAGGCGGGCGTCATCGCGGTATACTCAGCCCACGCGCGACCAGTGGTAGTCGCGTGAAGGCGACGCGTCGGTATAGTGTGCCAACGTCCTGTTGATGAGTGAATTCTTACTTGACTGGAAGCAAGGGTGTTCGAAGACAGACAGCCGGCGCAGGTCAGCGGTACGAACAGTTTGTCTCGCAAACCGTACAACGGTACAGCGCAGACAGTCACACAATAAAACCTTCCTTTGATGTCATGGCGGCGTTACAAGTGCCTTAGTCTGGAGAAAACGAGACAAGCTTTTGAAATACGCAACGAAAGCTCATCTCCAAAAGCCCCACCAGTAGTGATGCAGCTCCCTAGGTAGACAAAACTATCGACGACCACCAGTGCTTCATCAGCAAGAGTGCAGGTACAGACATCTGCTAGTCCCAAGCGAGATCTCACTCCCATATAGCCCTTACTGCCACCTTGCATATAGATTCTCAAAAGATAAATCCACTTGTAGTGCTACAGATATCGGATTCACAAGCGCATTTATTTTATAAACTGGGTCTAGGTCATCGAAAAAGGCGGTGTGTCAAGTGACAAAATGTGAACGTTTGTACTGGAAATCAGTGCTGATGATGCAGATAAATGAAATAAACTGTATATTCCTCGAGAATGCGAGACACATACTGTGTCGTCTGATGTATATTAAAGCTGTGATCAGCACAAAGCTGCAGGAATCGACTACCACTGTCTGTTCGGTGTTCATCGGTGTTGAAACGGCCTACCAGAATCCGACAAACATGATAGCAGTATTTTTCATCATGTAGAGAGGAAGTGACAACTGAAGACAAGGATCATCTTTAATGCCCTTCGAATTGCAATCGGTGATGCATAAACCGAAGCTACGATGTCGGTCGATCCTAAAAATGGTTCGAAGTCGAATCGCGTGCATGCGTTGTTCACTGGTAAAACACACGGTCACAAACAGCTGGCCGGCGTGTGAAGAGAAGGCAGTGTAGGCGAGACGGACTCCTACAGGCCTTCATTGCATTAAGTTACAATAAGTTATATCCCAAAGATAGCAACAGATACCTTAAACAGTCTGGTTTGAAAAAGACGGAAGACGCATCACTGGTACCAGCTGTCAGTTATGCAGTGTAATGCGTAGAGTCTAGTAAAACCTCCAAGTTAGGCGAGAAGGATCAAAGGACATAGTTCTGTCTTCAACGCTTGTATTTCCCGCAAGCAAGTCAATCAAGGTCTTCATCAGTGAGATGGCATACAAAGTACGTGCTCAGGCTGGAGCAACTGGTTAAATGTTATTTGTTACCTAACGGAACTAAACTGATTAACAACGCTTAGTAACTGACTGTGCACATTATCGTTTCAGGCACGTTGGCGCCACCCGGCACAAAAAATACTCCACAGCCAACGATGAAGAGACTCAGGGAACCAAGCTTATCAGACGGAAGGGGTCAAGTCTCACTCCCATACAGCCCTCACTGCCACCTTGCATATAGAGACTCTCTCAGAAGGACAGAGATAGTTTGGTAGTGCCGCAAATATCGGGATCACGAGTGAACCACTAACCAACGCAACACGTGAACTAATTTCAGTAGTTCCGCGCCCATCACTACTAATGGGGTTAGCAAGATGAGTACATGTGATCAGCTTGTAAAGAGGCTGATGGTCCCGTAACACCGCACTCTGGAAATGCAAGACGAATGCCAAATGATGGGACAACTCCTAGGCTCTTTCAGCGCTGGACGTGCAGCCTAACGACCGTCAAACAATATGACGATATCGTCCGCATAATCTAGGTCGACAACTTTTTCACCACGTAGCAGTTCTATGCTAAGATCATGAAACTCATCATGGTGAAATTCACGATAGAGCTGAACATTAAAAAGGGCATTAGCAGTACACCGGCAAACAGTAGCGACGCTTCGCTGCCGCGCAACCACCATCAGTTGCACGTGGGCTAAGAATACTGCGAGGGTCTCAGACTCGAACCCGCGCCCTCAGATTACAAGGCAGGCATGTGATCCTTAAAGTTACGGGCCAATGGAGAAGTTGGACAGCCAGGTAAACTTCGCCTTTTAAAATTTGCACTAGATCAATTTTGTTGTGTGGAGTTTATCAACTTTGAGTCGTTCACTGAAGTGTGCGGATCCAGTTACCTTGACGCAGGTCGCCGAGATATTAATGGTAACTCAAATCCGTGGAGGGCATGGTTAAGGACTCAAGGCGAGATAATGAATACAAGAGCGCAAAGGATCGCTCCGCATCCGATAATTATCAGACACATTGTGTCCAATCAATGAGATGACCGGTCCCGAGGATCCCATCTAAAAGAGGGAAAGAAACAAGCTGATTCAGCCTTTCGGTGAGTTTCATCCCGCCATTTTGCCATTACCGAGTACAGAGAAGTTAAAAAGATTTAGGAATTTAAGAGGAACATTATACACAGCGAGTATATCGAGCACAATTGACAGTTCGGATGGGTACAAAGGACTCTCAAAACCGAGGGATACATACATGGTCGGCCTTATGTGCGTGTGACATTGTTCTTGAATCAATCGCAGTGGTCAAGATAGCTTCGCTTGCAGTAAGGTGGAGAATGAGAGTTGAGGTCACTAGCTTATGATCGGATCAGCTTTGGTGGGCCGTGTTTCACCTAGTGGTAAGTATACCTATTATTATTATTATTATTATTAGCACTGCCTACGTCGAACAGGTATTCCTGTGGACAGCACAAAAGCGCGACTGTACTGTACTGTCATTAGGACCGATTTGCTCCAGCTAACTGGGATGCTCATTTCCTTCCACATCTATTTTTAAAGTTGGCAATGCTTCGCGGAGGACTTCACTATCAACCTCACCATGTACCAGAAAATAAGCGAACCTGGTGCTACCGTGCTCGTATATGGTGAGTGACGCAAGCAAGATGATGTGAAGGAAAGGAAGGCAATACGACAAATGGCGGTTTCAAATTTACCTTGAGTAGTTTATTCTCCTTCCGTAAGGTGTTGAGTTCAGCCATAAGTGCATCAATAGAGGGGATTTTAGCATTGGGACCAGAATCAGGAGCCTAAAATAGGAAGAAAATGGTGAAGTACAGGGCGATAGAGGCCAATGACAGCAAACTCACAGAGGCCATTGAGTATGCCTGTCGGGTGGGCTTGATCCGCTCATCCTAAGATTAGATGAAATAACGAATTGAGAAGTCAAACGGCTTACCGCTGACAATGGCCCAGGTGTATTGAATATGCATTTGAGCAACGTATCCGACGCCTGGTTGCCAGTTAGCTATAAAACATAGATAGGAGAGTTAAATGTCATTCGTCGTGGAGTACAGGGGACATACCAACTCCTCTGGTGATCTGGATTCGGAGTCCTTAAGCACCACAGATTTGATCATAATGCGCTCGCGGGGTTTATCCGCACCACTAAAATCAAGTGGTTTGCAACTGACTAATTTGGAGGGTTAAATAAGTTTAGAAAAAAGCGTATTCGGATACCCAGTACATCCAGTGTCTGGTTTGGATCGATAACGCCGGAGGTCGGAACAGCTGAAAGTTTGTGAGAAGATGCCTGGACTTGGAAGTAAATTCGGTCTCTAGATGGATTAGCAAGATGAACAGTAGATGTCACGGATTTATTGAAAGGGCCTAGGAAATGGTGATAAATGAAGAGGAGATTACCTTCAAAGATCAGTTCATGACTAGGCTCCACGACGAGTTCGCCAGGCATCCGAAGGACACATATCAGCTTCGAGTCCATAATTTTAGCCGGATCAGCTTCCTTCCACTGCAAGAGCCGGGGCGCGAATGATGACTTGTAAAATAGACATACCACTAGATCTAAATTGGTCTGATCCTCGTCTTTTAAAACCATGCTTTGGATCATGAATTTGTGTTTGCTCTTTTCCTGTTGATCATAGTTGAACGGTTGCAGCATAACTGTGAAATTGGAAAATAGGGATAAGAAGCTGAAAATTTACCAGCGACATTGAGACTTTCCTTGGGTTTCAGAATTCCACTGCTGGGCCGGACGCAGTACCGTTTAGGTACAGTTGTCTTTACCTTGAAACATACTGTGCTTTCGTGTGGATTAGTGAGTGATATGTGAGAAGTCACAATGTCAGTGAATGGACCTGAAAAGCAATAAAAGTGGGGTGGAAATCTTCAGCACGTGAAACGGAAGAAAACAGAACGAATCAAAAAATAAAGATATCAGTGCCGTTAAAGGTGCGGAAGCACGGAATCATCATCACTATGGTCATCCTAAACAACGTTAGCCAAAGGTAAGAAACACCTGAGCTATTGGTCGCAATACAAATAGATAAGATATATCAAAGTGAGATAAAATATTTGAAAAATCAGGTAATATGTTGCTTAGTATCATATTATGCATTGTGTGTGAAATTGTGGTCGAAGGGGAAGCCAAGCGGAAGGAGGCACAAAAAAATCACAACAGAAACGCAATCGAGGTCGACTCTAACCAAACGTGTTCATCATCCTTCGGACCCCAGCCCGGCAGTCGGGAGACAACAACCGACGTCAATCTCGAAATGAGGGTTCCCATTCCTCTTCACCAAGTCCCCGTTTGACCCCCCCTTTTCTTCTTCCATCCATACCCCAGGAGCGCAAACAACACACGTCGCGGGAGTGGTGCGCTGGCATGCGCAACAGGTGGCCCATCCATCAGAGCCTGGTGTGAGATATAACGGTGCACAGCGGTTCACTCGCTCATCCTGCACCAAATGCGCAACGTCGAGCACGCTCATTGCTCATGCAGTGCTCCCGCCAGACATGAGCTAAGCTGCGAAGGCAGCGGTGGTCGAAGGTAGCTAGACTGCTTATATCTGTCGACTTATTGGGGCAAGTTTCACAACCGTACAGGATGGCTGAACGCACGGCTGCATTGTGGAGTGTACACACACAATAACACGATAGGTATAATGCGTAAGAACTTAGTTTGCACATAACCAAGTAAAGTCAATATTAGCAGTATGCCCCCGAGTAGGAGCAGTATCGGTAACCTACACTGACAATGTGGACTTGCTACAACATAGAACTGGTGAGAAAGTAGTGTGAGATGATAAGGAAAACAAAAGGAGTCCATTATCAAACAAGCAAACGTTCTCGCAATCGATGCACCATTACCTTTGGGTTGGTTAGCAAGCGAAATAGCTCTGGCAAGATGAAATTGCGATCCCAATAGGTGAGAAAATCAAAACTTTAAATTTCGACCGCGTGGAAGAAATATATGCCGTACTTGCTATAAAAGTGTACAGTGAGTGAGATGGGTCGTTTAGAAGCTTGGATAAGAAGTTAAGGCGTGGGCGTAAATGCTTGCAAACCACAAAGACAACGAAGGATTCATTGCTTAAGTCAGATCATTAGGGAATAAATGCTAGTGGCTGCGCGCAAGAGTATACTCGTTTTGAGGAAGTTCGGGGAAAAGTACAGAACGGTACAACCGAGAGGAGAGAATACACGCATTCACAAAGCTTAGAGCACGCGGTATGGGGAGCATTTTGAGCCTGAGTGAGAAAATGACTAGTATTCTGACCGATTAAAAATTTTCAAAGATGTGTTGACCACGATAAACTTTGAGACAAAGAACACCGAGATGCTTTACGGAATATGAATGAAGAGTGCTTTAGTCGCTCGCGACCAAAAGAGTGTTTAAAGAACGCGGACAGTCGTTGGGAAAGAAAAGATGATGTGGCATCACAACACTTATGAGAGTTAAGGGAGATAAACCAGGAGATTAACCATGTCAAAGGTTCGGCTAAATCTTGCTGGAGTTTCTAAGATCCCACAACTATTGCCGTTATACACCACAAAATGACATGAGCAGTGTATTTAAATCCAACAGAGGGATAAAATAGCATTTAGAAAAATCCACAATTGTCCAGGGTTGTAGAAGACCCTCTATCGCGTAAATGCGTGAAGTGTGTGCGGTTTGCAAGGTAGTCACGCATTAAATTACATGCGTACGGAAGAACGCCGTTTTCGAACAAAAGAGAGATCAGGGGTGGCTTGCGCTATACCATCCACAGTCCCACCAACACACACCCCTTATCCAGTGTAAACCCGAAGGAATAAGACCGGGAGGCATGTGGATGGGAGCCAGGTTTCATCCATGGAGCCGGCCCACACTCTTTCACAGGCAAACACAAGCACACTATATTTGGGAATCAAGCGCACACAAAGCAGTGGCTGGACCGTAGTCCGCTACACAATGAGTGCATGGGACCACTCTTCGTGCCTAGTACGGCCACAAGGACGGTGCATCCCGTCAACTCCAGCAACGACCAACAGTCTCCTGGAGCAAGTATGGACGAGATAGAGGGAAATAGACAGGTAGGCACCTTGTGAAGATGAACATCAGGCGCAGCCATACCGGGGATATCAAGCAACAGCTAAGCACTTGAAACGACAAGATAAAATAAAATAAATCGAATGTTGTATACAGATATGCCGACATAGCTCTTCAATAAACAAGCATATGAAATAAATTGGTTGCCAAAGAATCCGCTGTAGGTTCAAGACGTCTGAAGATATATATATATATATATATATATATATATATATATATATATATATATATATATATATATATATATATATATATATATATATATATATAATCTGTGGTACAGATATTGTGCCATCGGAATCATGGCTGAATAGGGAAACAGTATGAATAATAAGAAACTAACAACAACAAAAGCATGTTTTTGTCCAGTTTGCCACTCATAGTTTTTGAATATTTTTTCAGCGGGGAGAAGGAGAGACCCCGCAACACATCGATGCACACGTCCGCCACTGACATCGATAATGAGCTATGGTTTACAAGGTCTTCAACTGCATCTCTCGTTGATGGAGAGACGAATGTCGTGGCGACACCACAAGTGCCTCAGCCTAGAAAAAGCGAGGCCTGCTCTTGAGATGCACATCGAAATCTCGTCTCCAACAGCCCCGCCAACAGTGATGCAACTTCCCAAGTAGACAAAGCTCTCCACAACCTCCAGTGTCTCACCACCAAGAGTGAGTGCAGGCACCAACCAGTCTTTAAAGAGAGCCTTGCATTTGGATGGCGAAAAGTACATACCATACTTTATTACTTCAATCGCCAGGCGGTTTAGTGCAAGTTGAACGACGTGTAGATCGTCACCCAGCAAGACGATATCATCAGCATAATCCAAATCAACAACTCGACTACCTGGGAGGAGCTCAAAGCCAGCATTCAACGAATCGCCCAGAGGGTTCTTTAGGACATCCTCAATAGCAAAGTTAAACAGGAACGGAGAGATAGGGCATCCTTGTCGAACTCCACAGGAGACTACAGAGGAAGGTGAAAGCTTGCCATAAGCCCTAACCCTGCCCGAGGTCAGACCATAGAGAGCGCGTAGTATGGAGACGAACTTCTCGGGGACGCCATTCCTCAATAGGCAATGCCACAGTACCGTACGATCGACAGAATGGAAGGCTGCATGGATATCCAAGAATACAGCAATCGTTGGTCTCTGATATACATGACGGAGCTCGAGGATCTGGCGGAGTGTGAAGATTTGATCAATGTAGCGGCGACCAGGACGAAACCCAGCTTGTTCTTCTCGTTGCAACGATTCGCGCGTTGCGGATAGCCTGCGAGGTATAGTGGACACCAGCAGCTTGCAAACGATGGGGACTAAGCTTATGCCTCTGTAGTTGAAGCAGACTGCGCGCAGGCCCTTATTGAATATGAGGACGACTATCGATTCACCCCAAAAATGATGGCACTTCTTTCGACCAAACTTTCGAGAACAAAGCAGTGCGTTCTCGAACCAGCGAAGCGCCACCATCTTTAAATAGAGGTGGAGTAACACCATCAGGACCGGGGGCTATATAACGCTTCAGGTGGCGGAGCTCCTGCTCGATTTCCTGGTAACAGGGAGGATCGGTGGTGTAGACCACTCGGCACCAGTGCGGGTTCCAGAGATTGAAGGTGCCATCCTCTTCGCATATTGTTCCACTTATACCAAATCGAACCCCTTCGGTGACTCGAATGAGATGGAAAAGTTTGCTGGGATTCCCAGAGAGACTAGCAAGCTCCATCTCCCTAGCACGCTCATATCACCCAAGCCTCGCGATCCATTTGCAGAGTTCTGAGCAACTCTCGACCCAGGGATTGGTGTTCTTCACTGTGGCTGGAATCTGACAGGATCAAGCGGTGTTTGTCCATCAGTGACAAGGAGACGGTGGAAATCCAACGCTTCGGTGGGTGATGAGTAACACCACAAGTGTCGATAGTGGCGGAAACTAAGGCATTCTTGAATCTCCGCCCACTGCGAATCGAGGTCACCGTCAACAGCTGAGCCAAGTAATGTTGACAGTGAGGCTTAGTACCTGGTTAAAATCGCAGGCTTTTGTAGATTTGCGACGTCCGGTTGGAAGTGAGTGCGCTTGGGTGATCCTTCGAGACGTATGCGAGACGTATCTTAACACAAACCAGTGTGTGATCGGAGTCTAGCTAATTTGACCAGTACGATCGGCAGTCGGTTACATTTCCGCTCCATCTGTAGCGGATTGCTATGTGATCAAGCTGGGAGCACTCTTGCGTTTGTGAGGGTGGGCGCCAGGTAGCAGTGTGTCTCCTCGTGTACTGACAACTGGTGCTCGAAAGAAACAAGCGATGATCAGAGCAAAGAGCAAGCAGTCTGTCTCCATTGCCTGATCGACCGCCAGTGAGGCCAAAACTACCCCCAAGGTGTTGCTCGCTTGTTAGAAGGCGGCCCACTCTGCGTCAGTCTCCGGCAAGAAGGACTATATCATTCCTTTTGGAGCAACGCAGAAGTTCATGTAGTTGCTGGTAAAAGTTATCCTTTATTGCATCCGGGCTGCAGTCTGTAGGGGAGTAGGCAGAGACAACAAACGTGGCATGCTTAACGTCTCGACGTCTGCTTACATTACATGAACCTCTTAATCGAACTGCGCATAGCCGACTGTTGACTGGGATCCAGTCAAGCAGAGCTGATTCAGCCCTGACACTCAGTACAACCCCAATAGCAGCTTCGCCAGAGGTGACAGCTTCTGTGTCTCCGGAAAGCCGCAAGTGGTATTTGGCTTCAGGGTTTACCAGAGAGGCCATTCTGATGACGGC